TTCTAATGGTTCTCTAAAAGTATTGTAACCAATTTGAGGACCAGTCAAAATATTCTCACCTTTCAGCAATTCAGTGATTGTTTCCAAAGCACCTTGTAACTTGGGCACTGGGGTGTCAGGGATTAAATGTGAAGAGACTCACAGGATGAGCAAGATTCCTGCTTCCTGGTGCTACAAATGTAGAGTACACATGTTCTGCTTACTGGCACAGACTTTAGGTCAAACTGCGACTCAGGAAAGGTTAAGGGATCCCACTGAGATGGTTCTACATGAGTGCACACGTGTGCATGCAGTCGCTTCAGTCGTGTCCGACTCTATGCGACCCTGTGGACTACAGCCCGCCAGGCTCCTCTGTCCATGGTATACTCCAGGCAAGAACACGGGCGTGGGTTGCCGTGCCCAGCTCCAGGGGATCTTCCCGACCCAGATATTGAATTCGCGTCTCTTAGGTCTGCCTGCACTGGCAGGCAGGTTCTTAACCACTAGGGCCACCTGGGAAGTCTGATAGTTCCTCTGATAGGATTCCAATTGGTCCTCAGAACCGCTGCCACCAGAATAATCCTGTTGCCAACTGAAACAGTCTGAAGCTTCACCTGCATGCTTGCTTCCTCTGCTCTTTTCTCCTGAAAAGAAAAATAAACTTGACATCTGAATATGTGGATTTGAAAGAGGTAATGAAGTTATGATGATCATCTTCAAATGATCTTTTTAGACTGTAAAGGTTCGAAAGTGCAAAAGGCCAGAAATGATTATTTTAAAGTTTTTTTTTTTTTTTTTTTTTCAGTTCAAGACAGTGAAATAAACTGAATCTGAGTACACTAACAGTGATAGTCAAGCTTAGGTTTCTTAATGCTGAGATTCTAAGTTAAGTGCTTTCTAATTACCTTGAAGCAGAGGGAACACCTCTTAGAGGCTCATGAACAATCATCCTCAAGTTTTTGTAACTGAAAGTAATTTTATTTAAAGCTTATCACTGTAAAAATGTTTGTGGGTCTGATATCCTAATCAGTATTTCAAAATAAGATGGTATGTGAAAGTACAAATTTTGTGTACCTTTTTGTGCATGTGATAATGGAAAGGAGAAGGAAATGGCAACCTACTCCAGTATTCTTGCCTGGAGAATCCTGTGGACAGTGGAGCCTGGAGGGCTGCTGTCCATGGGGTCGCACAGAGTCAGACATGACTGAAGCGACTTAGCATGCATGAATGCATTGGAGAAGGAAATGGCGACCCAGTCCAGTATTCTTGCCAGGGACGGGGGAGCCTGGTGGGCTGCCGTCTTTGGGGTCGCACAGAGTCAGACACGACTGAAGTGACTTAGCAGCAGCAGCAGCAGCTAATGGAAAAATGGCATTTGTCCCATCTGAAAAAGAATGACACAGAATTGCCAGCCATAAAAAAGTATCATGTGGTGAAACTAATTGCCTCAGTCAAAAATCTAAGTGACTTGGTTGATTTAGAAAAGAGTGTTAGTACTTTCTGGCAACCATAGTTGTGATAACAGCCTGGCAAAAACTGATTAATACTGCTCTTTAATTTGCCTAAAGTAACCATACATACTCCAGTGATACATCTTCTCATTTATCATGTTCCATCTTGGTTTACTCGCCTCACGAAACTTTTAACTTGCTTTGAACACTTTTCTGTCAAGCATCAGCTACTGGCTGATTGTTTTCCACCATGCTGTTCTGATTACCACGTTTTCAAGTCAGCCTTTCCTGCTGTTTCTTTTTCTTCACGCTGGTGCCTTAGCTGCCTTGAGGGCATTGTACTGAGCTGTTGATGTACAGTAAATCAGCAACTCCATTCTCCATCTTTACATGTCTGGCCTAAACTTAAGTATTTCTGTGACTTAACTACTTCTCTTGGCATAGCTCTTGATTATGCTAGATTGTACTCTTTGGGTTTTTATTTATAGAAAGATTTTGATGATTGGCTTGGGGGAGGAAAAGGTCCTTTTCAGCCATTTTTAAAGATTCAACTTAAAAGTTTTATTTGCTAGCCTTCATCATAATTTTTAACTCCTCAGAGTGCATTTTAGAAAACCAAAAGAAATTCCCTTTCACTTTTGATTGCTAATAGTATTCACTACCTGTAAGTTAGAATAGACTTGAAAATGATGCGCTAGTATATGAAAACACTTGTCCTACTCAGTGAATTACTCAGGGGCAGCAAGGAAATCCTGAGATACGTCTTTGGATGATTTGTCTGTGAAGGAGTCTGCGTCACTTAGCGTCTTGGGTCCCCAAGGCATTTCTGAGATGCTCTTCTCGGGCTCCTGTCTGTTCTCTATGCCCTGCTCTCCACGGGGTGGGAGCCTCTCCTCCATCACTTCGCTCACTTAGCCAGATGGCTTTACTACCCTGACTGCCACATACCAGCGGCTAGACTGCTTTCTTACAGGTGTTCCCTAGGAGACACCTGGCATTCTAGGTGTCTCCCAGTGGATAGCTTGTGACATCACATTGAGTTAAGGAGACTTTGTGTAGGTAGTCCTGGAATCTTGTGTATGATTTGGAAGACGTACATTGTGTAAGCCATGTTTTAAGGAGGTTGCCAAATTTGCCGTTTAGTTTGCATTGTTTTTCTGGGAATCCTCTGTGTCAATGCACTTCCACCTCTCTTTTTCACATCCCCCACCCTGCACATATACATATACATGTACACACACCTCACATTCATATCTGACGTTAGGGTAATCTGAGTTCCCTGGTGCTGTATATGTTCCATCGCCTATATAAAAGTCCACTTCTTATCTTTACCATCATTTAGTATTTGTTCTCATTATCACTGATAAAAAATTCATAATGCAATGTATATTTGTGCAGTTTATACAAACATTGTGCTAAAAGTCATTTGTTAAATGTAATGGCAGAAATGCTAGTTTTGATAGACTAGAAAAGCCTGTAATTTGTAAAACAACCATAGGAATAAAAAAATCTCAGCAATGATACTAAAATATATTCCTTTGAAGAAATTGTTTCTGATTTTAGAGATGTCTACATTTTAGTCTTTACAAAAAAAAAAAACCACATAAGAGAGGTAATTTATTCTGGGGTTCTATAAAAGGTTCATAGTCACATTTCAGACTGTGCATTAGCTTAAAAATTCGGAAAGGTTGAAAGCGTAAAGCATCCAGAGAAAGACTGGTAATGCAAGAGCCAGTGAGCATGCACTGTGATTTCATCCATTATGTGGATCTGGAAGATCCACATTTACATGTAGATGAACAGCCCTGTACTTATAGGTTCTCCATGTTTAGAGCTGATGTTAGAGCTGTTTGCTACCCTCAAGAACCTTTGCTGACCTGGTTTCTGTACAGGTATCAGTTCAGAGGCTAGGTGCCCTCTGGCCCTTGGTCTTCATCTGGAAGCAGAGATTCGAGCGGTTGCAGCCTGGGAGTACCTGGGAGGTTTAGTGTCCACTCAAGTTAAGAGTGCTCTGGGACCATGCTGATCTCAGTTAAGTCTGCATACAGCTTAGAGTTTAAACTTCCAGAGTGAAAGGCAAAATGTTTGAGCTTTGGAATCAGTTTGGATTTAAAGTTTGCCCTTTTTGCCTATAGGCTGTGTGATTTTTGGCTTATTTCTATGAGTCTCAGTGATCTCCTGGTGGCTCAGACGGTAAAGCATCTGCCCGCAAGGTGGGAAACTCGGGTTCAATCCCTGGGTCAGGAAGATCCCCTGGAGAAAGGAATGGCAACCCACTCCAGTACTCTTGCCTAGAAAATTCCATGGATGAAGGAGCCTGGTGGGCTACAGTCCATGGGGTCACAAAGAGTCGGATGCGACTGAGTGACTTCACTTTTCTGTGAGTCTGTTTTTTCATTTATAAAATTTGGGACAGTTATAATAAATGGGATAATACATCCAAATAGGCCTGGGACTGTAAGGAATGAGTGAATGGTTTTCTCTTATCCGTCTGCATCACTGAAGAGTCCGGGGTGGGGTGAGTTATATCCACAGTAGCTGGTATAACTGCCCTTCCTGGTCTGATTAGATAAAATCCAGACAAAGCTCTTGGATCTGTTCTATCACCAGTCAGTCAACGAACATGTACCTAGAGAAATTCCAAGTCTGGAGAGAAGCTGAAAGAGAAAGAAAGGGTCTTCTCTGGCAGTTGTATTAGCTTCTTGCTTTTTTGTGTAATACTCATTGGCATACAGGTGATATCATGAGATTATACATAATTTACTTTTTAAGATTCCCTAATTCAGTGTGAACTTTTTCTTTCATCTCATCTATGCAAAATCCAATTGGAGATTTGAGGAAGGTGATGTGTAATCAATACTTTTATTCACAGGTGATTTTCCTTTAGTAAGAAGCACTTGCAATTATGCTGTTTTGAAATTTTTATTAGTTTAAACAACAAGAAAGTAACATTCAAAATAAATCTGATTGACCAGAGGTTACATAATCTTGTTTGTATGAGGAGTTATGATGCACTTTAATTGAACCAAAGACCTCTCATATTCTTTTAAAATGCCCTTAGTTTGGATTATCCAGAGTAAAAGATAGATGTTTATTTTTTAACAGACTTAAAATATTATTGAAACAATGAGAAATGTAAAGAGTTGGTGAATTCTAAAATTAAACAGCTGCCTCTTTTTTCTTTTCTCTGTGCCATCTCTGAATACATAACTCATAATAATAATGTGCTCAAAGATCCTCCCTTTATGTAACCCATTCATTATTATCATGTGAGATGTATTTCACCCTTTGCCTTTTCTTTCTCCATTTTAATTCCAGAGCATAGTAAAACTCTTGAGTCATTTTGGAGTTACATATAACATATCATAACATCAAAATTTTTGATAACTAGCATAGAGTAAGAAATAACTTTATTAAAACACAAAGTGGAATTGTCAGTAGTTAGGTATTATTATTTTCAGAAATATTTTGAAAACATGTTCAGAACTAGTTTAAGTTTTGATACTGAAAATACTCACTTAGGAAGCAATTTTGTAACTGTTTTCCTTTCTTTCTCCTTTTCAATTTCAGGGTCAGCCCGGTCCTCAGGTAAGTGAACACTTTTTCTTCTCACAAGTTTCAACAAATTTCAGTTTAGGATTTTTCCAGCCTAGAGGATTTGCAGTTCTTTTCAAAGCACATAAAAAAGCTATGAGCCAGTAATCATGACACCACACAGTAGACCAGATATTTCCCAGGAGTAAATCTCTGGGGCCTCTTCAGGATCGAGTGAGTCCTATCAGCTCTTGGGCCAGATAGCAAGTTTAACAATGTACTATCGTACAAAGCAAGACTCTTTAATAGCTCTGAGACAGTGCCACAGCGCTTTAATGTAAGATAAAATGACTTAGTAGTAGATGTGCGGTAGGAACTCATTGGCATTAGGAACTGAGTCATCATTACTAATACGTTATCGTCAATCCCCACAGACTGATTATTTAGATTGCCATCCTATCAACTAATTTTGATTTATTATAGATACATATTTAATTTGTTCTACATTTCCTTTTTTCAATCTTTTCTAAAAACTTATTTTTAATTGGGGGAAAATTACTTTAATGTTGTATTGGTTTCTGCCATACAGCTGTGCAAATCAGCCATAATTAAATATATATTAACTCCCTCCCCTTCCTATATTTTCAATATAAACTAACTGCTGAAGACATGACTTATCATCGTGAATGCAGTCAACAGACAACCTTTTGAGCCCTAAATCATTGTGAAGAAAATGAGGAAATATTAGGAAGGGGAGGAATGTGTATAAAGATGAAACGCACAGAAGAGAGTTGTCAGAAGTGAACAGTCAATAAAATACCCTCAATATGAGCAATTATTATAGTTAGTAGGAAATCAGAGAGAAGGAAATGCCATTATTAATGTTTTACCTCTAACACCATAATACCTGTAAATAAAATAGTTATTTATTGAGTCCCCTTTTCGTCTCTTTCCCCTCGATATGCTGAATACTATTTCTGTCCTAGATTTTTTCCTAAATAAGTGTAGCCAATGCCACAAACTGTCTATTATGTGCTGATTCTCCTACTAGACCATGATAATAAATTTATATTTTATGAGCTCTGAATATAAGGATATCTAACAAAACAAACAAAACCCCCCCAGTAGAATATTCCTTTTCACACTACTCATGAGAAATAGCTTGAGAAGTAATTCATTTATATTCACTCATTATTCACAATAATGAATACTCTCATTGTTTATAATTTTCGCTTAAAAAATATTTATTGGAGTGTAGTTGATTTACAATATCGTGTTAGTTTCAGGTGTACAACAAAGTGAGTCAGTTGTACATATACACATATCCACTCTTTTTTAGATTATTTTCCCACATATACCATGACAGGTACTGAGCAGGGTTCCCAGTGCTATATGCTAGATCCTTATTAGTTATATGTTTTATAGATAGTATTGTGTAGTACAGTAGTATGCCCTTGATCTAAGATCAAACCAGTCAATCCTAAAGGAAATCAACCCTGAATATTCATTGAAAGGACTGATGCTGAAGCTCCAATACTTTGGCCACTTGATTCAAGGAGCTGACTCATTGGAAAAGACTGTGATGTTAGGAAAGATTGAGGGCAGGACAAGGGGGCAACAGAGGATGAGATGGTTGAATGGCATCATCGACTCCATGGGCATGGGTTTGAGCAAACTCTGGGAGATGGTGAAGGACAGGGAAGCCTGGCAGACTGCAGTCCTGGGGTTGCAGAGTTGGACATGACTGAGTGACTGAGCAACATAATGTATATGTCAGTTCCAGCCTCCCAGTTTATCCCTCCGTCCTTTACCCCTTGGTAAACATAAGTTTGTTTTCTATGTCTGTGACTCCTGTTTTGTAAATAAGTTCATTTTTACCCTTCTTTTTTAGATCCCACATGTAAGTGACATTATATGACGTTTGTCTTTCTATGTCTGTCTTATTTCACTCAGTATTACAACCTCTGGGTCCATCTGTGTTGCTGCAAATGGCATTATTTTGTTCTTAATTTTCACTCTTATGTTCTAAATCTCAAGCTAATTACTGGAGGGAAAAAAGCCATGAAAGAAAGTCATAGTTTCTTCCCTAAATTTGAAACTGCTACATTATAATGAGATGAAAACAAAGTAAAATTTGCTTTGCATGCTTTATTTTATTTAACGCTTACAACAGCCCTGAAAGTAATATTATCCTAGATCTAGATCTAAGAGATATATATTTTTGATCTGTTCTTATTTTGTATATAAACTGTATATATATATATATATATATATATATATATATATATATACACATATAAACTGTATATAAACTGGGCTTCCCAGGTGGTGCAGTGGTAAAGAATTTGCCTGCCAATGCAGAAGATGCTAGAGATGCAGGTTTAATCCCTGAGTCGGGAGGATCCCCCTGGAGTAGAAACTGGCAACCCACCCCAGTAATTGTGCCTGAAAAATTCCATGGACAGAAGAGCCTAGTGGGCTACAGTCCTTGGGATCGCAAAGACTAAGCACATACACACATTCTGTATATATCCTTATCTATATATGTATCTGTGTCTGTGAACCTATGAGAACCTATGAGAACTTATACACAGAGAACCTATGAGAGCCTATGAGAAACAGTGCAGAGCTTGCCTTAGAATTGCCCTACTGCAGGGCAGGAAAACTGATGCATTTAATCACTAATTTCCCATTCTTCATTGGTGAGAGTTGTACCTGGGTGTTAACTCCTTGGCACTTCTGGCCTACCCTAGAAGGTATAACACACTCCAGCTGTTCAAGGAATGCGGGAAGCCGTAAGAACATATGGGACCTGTATTCTAGCACAGTCTTGGAGAGAGGCAGCTACATCTGCTACAACTTTCAAGTGCGAGTGTCCTGTAGACGAAACAGAGTGGAAAACTCAGATAGGGCTATAAGGACTTAGAAAACTGGACAAAAAGACAGCATGAAAAGCATAATGAGACATTAAAGAGGACAACTATAAAAGAAGAGCAAAAAAAGAACATGGTCATAACAAATTTTGAATGCACAGCCACAGTGAATGAGCAGATGCAGGATGATAAACCAGCACAGGAAGCCAAGAACAGTCCGAACCAGGAACATCTATGGATGGATCAGGGTAGCTGAAAGTTGAAAGTGTATCATGGCACTTTAAGAAGCCAAGAGATACCCCCACATTGTCTTTCTACACCATAGGCAAAAGAGTTTTGTTGCTATGTCCCCAAGGAAAGGTCTGACCTACTTCTTATTCCTACATCATTATAGTATTTTTCAAAAGAAACTTGCAATTTCAGATTTTGAATTAGAGAATTATTAATGAAGTTTTCACTTAGTACTAGATGATTATTAACTGCTTGTTACTCATATGCAAATGTTTATGTCAATTAGTATTTTCTTGCAGAGATTCAACACTGCCACATCATCTTATTCACATTGCTGTGTGATGTAAAACTCTTAGAAAAACTCAGTACTCTTTCTTTGATATCACACTTGTTGAGTAAGAACTTCCAGATTAATAGAGTTTTATTTTGCAGACCAGTGGTAAAAAGGGAAAATATCTTATCATCAAGGAGTTCTGATCATCTTCCTAAAATTGAAAATGGCTTGGATGGACTTAGATTGTTAAAAGATTGCAAAGACTAGAAAGCTAAATAGCAGTGAACTCTGTTACAGTGACAGTATGAAATTGAATATGAAAATAGGTCTGAGGGAAGAGAGCTGAATCTATGCATTTAGCTAAATGGGTGAGAAAATGGTTCTTGACAAGGGAAATGAGATGGTGAAAGGATATTAGAAAAAAAAAAGGCAGTTCTAGCAGCTGTGGTTACAATGGGAAAAGAGGAATGGATGGAGAGGATATTGCTGTGAATCCACTGAATCAGAGGAAATCAAATTCTTGGAGAGGAAAAGGGATGAGTTAGCGTAAACAGTCACAGGACTTGAAAAAAACAATTGGGTAGAAAAAGAAAAAAAAAAGTGATAACAGAAAGTGAAGGAAGAAAGAAGGGGAAGAAATGAGAAAACAGACAGATGAACATTTGTATTTCAGACTAGACATGATGGGAGTTATTTAGGGGTGGCGCAAAGTTAATCTGTTGAAATGAAAGTCACCCTGATGTTTTTTATTAATCCGTATTAACATAATTCAGTTCAATAACTCATGTCTATTTTGCCTCTATTAGGTACAAGGATGTGAAGTTGTAGTGAACAAGACAATCTCTGTTCCTTTGATAGTTCTTTTAATAATAGTAGTCAAGTAAAGTGTCAAACAGAGAAGGCAATGGCACCCCACTCCAGTACTCTCGCCTGGAAAATCCCATGGATGGAGGAGCCTGGTGGGCTGCAGTCCATGGGGTTGCTAAGAGTCGGACACGACTGAAGTGACTTAGCAGCAGCAGCAGCAGAGTGTCAAAGTGCTGGCAGTTCTGCAGACCCACCATCCTACTCTGTGCTTATATAACATCTGGTTAATCCCCAGGTTCTGTTGGGACTTTGACATGAGGCATTTAAGAAAGCCTTTTTCCTACACACACAGGTGAACCAACATCAGTGCCATTGCTCTAAGTGTGGTCTTCGTGCCATGCCTCAGTCTTAATAATGGAATTCTGCCCAGATCCAGGCACCCCATTCTGAGGACTTGAGTCCTTTCCCAGTTCCACGTGTCTACACTGTTTTTCCATTACCATCTTCATCCAAGGTCCTCCTTTTCCTTTCCTCTCCACTGCTGGGTTGCCCTGGTGGCTCAGCGGTAAAGAATCCACCTGCAGTACAGAAGAGGAAGGAGAGATGGGTTTCAACCCTGGGTTGGAAATGGCAACCCACTCCAATATTCTTGCCTGGAGAATCCCATGGACAGGGAGCCTGGTGGGCTACAGTCCATAGAGTTGCAAAGAGTCAGATATGATGGAAGCAACTTAGCCCCCACATACCCTGGGTGTTAAGAGTCATGGTGTGTATACTCTCCGCAGCCTTGCTGATGGCTGACTGAACAGGTCAATGCCTCGAGCTCACTGCCTGCTTGACAGGACTCTCCATTTCTATTTCTCTTGACC